GGATATTTATTTCTTAAATTAAAAAGACAAATAATTTATATTATCATTATAATTATCATCGACTATAACAACTATAAAAAGTTTACCAATAATCCTGTAATAAAATAAAATAGTAGCCTAGTGGACGATTTTATAATGGATATATATTTTTACTGGAAAAACAAAAATGAAGGTATTTTCGGAAAGCGAAGAGCAGTTAATGTTTGTATTATACATTAAACAATTTTTGAAACAACTTTAATTTTCTTTAAAATTAGTTTCATTACATTCTTAAAATATGTTTCAAGATATAATAGCTTCATAACTGCTAATTACAGAACAGAATTTCTACAATAAACTTTACTCTATAATTATTATCATGCTAATTATGAACTTTAAGGTATTAGGAAAATAATTGGAATATAAAATCGGATCCGCTTAAGACTCTTTCTAATGAAATTATGGCATTTATTATAACCTATATTTTAGAAAATAAACGGATGAAAAATCATAGTATAAATAACGAACTATAAGTATTCTTCGAATGTATATTTTTTAAAGAACGAAATTCTTAAACATCAAACGCGTAATACTATATATAATAAATTTATTATTTTTACTTAAAGTTCCATGATTTGCAGATTTAATCATGGAAACTATTTATAACTAATTTATAACTAATTAACAATAAAAAAGCTGAATTACTGTTATGTATATTGTATGTTACTGTGTATGTTGTATTGTTGTATGTTACTGTTATTATTATTGATAAAATGTGTTCTTGACAAGCACAATTTAACTAATAGTCATTAATTTATTTCAATCAAATTTTGTTAAATTTGATTGAAATATTGATGATTGATTGAAAATATTGATTGAAAATATGATTGAAAAATAAAAATATTAAATTTATGATTTTGTAACAAAAATTTTGATTCTTTAAAATAATATTAATATTCAAATTACATATCAGAAAACGCAATAATCTAAAAATAAACAGAACATTAAATTTTTATTAAAAAATGTGAATTTAGGTTTTAAATTTTTAACGCTCTTTTTAATATTAAAACTAGATAAATCTCGATTGGAATTATAAAAATTGACATTTAAAAAAAAAAGCTAAAAGTTTAAGATTGAAAATGAAAGCCTTGAATATCGAAGAGCATTGATTAATCATTTCTTACTTTCACAATACATTTTAAACTCTATTAATTTGTTTTCTGGAATCTTGTCAAAACAAAAGCAATAAGAATAACTCTTTAAACGAATTTTACTTTAATTCTTCCACTATAACAAAAAATAACGATCAATAATATGAATTTGAAAACAACTGCTTCTTTAAATTTAGAAGGCAATTAGTTGGCAAAAAATAATTTTTTCAATTTTTAAAAAAAATAAATTATAAATGAATAAATGATATTTAAGTTATAGATTGCAAATGATTTTTAACGATGCTTTATTATCCTGCAAGTTATTTTTTTTATTTCAGTAAATTAAAACTTAAGTACAATACATTATGCGTAGGTTGCTTCTATCCAAGACATATCGACGAAAACCATTAGACTAAATTAATTGTAAAAGATCAGATTAAAAATTAAAGCTAAACGACAGACTCGGAATTAGGTTACGTGCCACTTATTATTTTAGTGACCATCCATTTACATTTGTCGACCATCGTTTAAGCTATTTTCAACTAGGAAAAATGGCTTTCGCAATGAACGCTAACGAGAAACTTCCATCTTCTCCATTTGTTTAATGAAAACCGAAAGAATTTAAATGTGAAAAATAAAAGCAGAATTTTTATTCAATTTTCTTTCCAGAATTGGGAAAATAAATGAGAAATTACGAAATGCATTCATTCTTTAAAGTTTGAAATTTATAACGACAAAAGAAAGTTTAATTATCGCCTACAATTATTTTTTAATGTTTGTAATAGTAAGCAAACGTCGATTTTCACTTAAATCGTGAAATCGGTATAATAAACTAAATTTTTAACGTTATATCATATAACTTGCGTTCATTAATACCGAATATTTACTCAAATTGCATTTACACATAATCCAAAATTTAAACAGCATCTAAGCGAGTTTATATGAATTTAAAATAATTCATGTTTATACAATTAACTTGCGATAAAAACTTTTAAAATGTCCTTAAAGTAAAGGGGGGGAAATCCCTCTCCGCACGTTCTTATAAAATCTGTTTAAGCGGAATCATGTCGTTTCCCCAAAATTGACTTGTATTCGTGTGTAGTCATTCAAGACAAGGAATTTCTTGCTTGAGCGAACCCTGATACGATTGACAGCATGCATCCACCAAATACAAAAAAAAAGGCAAAAAGAAAAAATTAAAAATTTTCACGGTCACTTATTTTTTAATCTAAACTTTCGATAGATAAAATTTTGAAATGTGTGCATTTATATCATTTAAAATTTCCTACGCAAATTTTTAACGTTTATTTAGTTTGAAAAGATTTATCTAAAGAGAAATAGACTAGAAAATGATACTATGAAAATAAGCCTTTTTTTCTTTTTTTTGCCTCTTTACCCGGTGGGCAATAAGAAGACCTTTTTAATCATATCCATCGCAGGTTCAGCCAGGCCCACAATGGGAGTGGCAGAGTGGTCATGGACAGGGTCCGATATATCCGGAACAGACAGAGTATGAAAAATTCCTGGGGCGTTGCTCGCCCATATTCGGCTTCGGATCTCTCAGAGCGGTAGTAGAATGCCTTAACTGTTTCTGCCATCAATTAGAAATGGCTATGGAATGTTAGTTTCTGTGATTTCATCATATTACTTAGTAATAGAAGAAACAATAAATTCTACAGAAAAACTGCTTAACAAGAATTTCTCTCTCGCCAATTTTCTAGGAAAACGAAGAGGGAAAAACAAGTTGGTTTAAAAATTTTTGTTGCTTTGAAAATATGTCTAATCGCGAACCGAAAATCTTTAAAATGTGTATAAATTCTAACAAACAACTTTATCACGTTTGGAGTTTATACTGGATGTTCAAAATTTCTAACGATTCTTGAAGTGCATTAATTTTTCAATTATTCGAAACATTGTCTCGGTTTGCAAGTCCTAATTCGTGTACTTCGAAATCAAATGATATCAATTTGTTCTAATGAGTTATCGTAATGACTTACTCGCTTCAAACGATGATATATTTAGTAAGTGGTAGAGAGTAATCGCTCTATAAAACTAATGAATATTGATTGACAGAAGCGATATGCAGATAACAACTAAAAATTACTAATTTATTATACAACTGAATGGTTTTGAAATGTGTTCTTTTTTTATATTTTAATTCCTTCAAATTCATTTCTGTTTTTAAAAGTTCTAATTGGTAGAGCGATGAAGTTAGAGACCAGTTTATCTAGAACTGATATGAACGGACTAAGAAATATATATTTAATTTCCGACTTAATTTTTATTACTGAAATTAATGTCGCTACAGATGTTTAAAAAAAATGCTATTAGATTGATTTCGACAACGTTTGTGAAGTAAACTAGACAGAGACACTAAAAGGAAAACTATGTTCGGCATTTCTATCCCGTTGGCAGAAGAACAAAAACAAAAAAATAAAATAAAATAAAAAATAAAGAAAATATTCCCTTGTGCAATCAAAGATAAAAACAATCACTGTCTTATATCAGAATTAAAAGTAAAAAGAACTTAACAATTTTGCCAAGTCATTTACAAAAGTTGATTTCCTATTGAGAAAAAATCGAGAGAGAGAAAGCGTGTTCTAGAATTTATCCACATACGTTATTGTTTAAGTGTGCTCATTAAGGTGTAGCTAAATCTATTGTTTCTTTGTTTACGTGCCAAAATAGTCACGTACCGTTTCAATACGTTTTCTATAAAGATCTTTAGTCCAAATTTCAATTTTAGAACATTATATCTAACTAACGCGATCTTATCTTAAAACAATTAACCTTCTTGATAGAGTTGAGTATAATACACTATAATTAGGTTTAATCCAGCATCTCTTAAAAATGCGGTTATATATAAAACGTCATCTATCGTATATTTATACATTACTTTCATTTATAGCAGAATTATAGAAATTTATTTCTAAACAACTTTTTTTTCTAAACAAAATATTATATAGCAAAGAAAGACTAACAAGATCATTTCAGATAAAATTTCAGAATAAAGATTAAAATAATAACCACGCTTGATTCATACTTGATTGATTAAAAATGCATTCTTAACAAATTTAAAGATATTAGCCTGTTAAAAAAAAATAAACTTTGTGAAAATAATTTAATGCTCGCAACGTTCATAAAAATATGACATGTATCTTAAATGTATATTGTTATCTGTATATCGTTCAAAATCAAATGTATTACAATGTAGAAGAAACTTAATATAAATTTACAATATGCAATAAAATTATTATTTTATAAATAAATAAAAAAATACAAACAATTTATGTAAGTTTCATGCATCAGCCTGAATTAAATGAATATCTAGTAATACAAAAGCTTACAATTTTAAATTTATTTTAGAACGATTTGCAAAGCCAACAAAACAAAAAAAACGAAATATAATAAATTTTTCACAAACCACTTTAGATAATTTTAAAATATTTTTGAACAATTTAAAATAATAAAAATTACAAACTAATTTTTACGTAGCATTTTCAACGTAATATTTAGAAAATATATCTGAATGCTGAAGATGAAAATCTTCAAAAAAATAACTAATTTTAATGAAGATTGTAAAAAGGAAATTAACATTTCAGGGAAAGCAACAATATGAAGCGTGGCTCATAAAATCCGAGCCTAAAGTTTATTCCATCAAAACTGTTTTCCTATTGAAGTTTTTCATGTTTTCGGAAAACATGAAACGAATGCATTTTTAATTATCTCAAATTCTCTATTTAATCGACACTAACTTTAGCTAAATAAGAATCAATTATGAATTCGACCAATATATACAATTATCAAATTTTTACAAGCGGTTTTTCAGTGATTGACAACAATTTATTAAAATAATCTTTAATCACATACCTTTCCTTGCATAATAAGTCGAATGGTAAGGGTAACGGAAGGTCCGTCGCTAGGAAGGTTATCTAGAGAAGCCATGCTGGTCTTGTGAGGAAGGGCACCACGTCAGAGGGAAGCAGTTCCGTGTCAGATTGGATCTACAGGAAGAAACAAGTGCACGTTAACGAATCTAGAGCGTAAGAATAATATCGCTATAGAGTTTTATAGTCTTTTCGCTATTGTGGTCGAGAAGGAAATAAGGCACTCTTCCAAATATGATTCTTCTTCTTTACATGTGCGACAGTGAAAGAATGAACTCCTCCTTGTTGGTTTCTAGCCAAACGAATTACAAAGTTTGGCAACAGTGGTGACAAAACGTAACGAACCTCTCTACAAAGTATTAAAATCCCTCGGAGTCTCAACGATCGCATCGGTAATGACACGAGTCGTAAACTCTGAACTTATTAAAATTTAACATCTTATGAATAACAAAATTAGTTTCGTGTTGATTAGTTACTACTGCGTTTATAAAATTATAAAAGTGTTTTTAAGAAAACCATTTTAACTTTCCTTGCGAGTAGTAAAAACCAAAATGTTGGTCTTGGTGAAAAGGAGACGNCGTATATACTGTAACACACGGAGTCGGATTAACGTATATGGCAAATTTATTGTAAAAATAAGACGAGAGAACGTTCCAAATTCATTATTTTCATCAAAATTAATCAAAATTTTAATATACGAATTAATTTTATACATAGATAAGAGAATAAAGATTGCTGTGCGATAGCGTTGTTTCGCACAAAAATAATAATTCTGATAATAATCATCATAATTATTATTATTGTATGCAATTTATAGGGAGCAACTCTTACGAGACAATTACATCATAATCCGGACTTCTGCAGACAGACTCGAAAGGAAACAGTAGTAAGAATGTCAAATATTGATAAATATTCGAAAGTATTTGTTACAAGAAATTCGAAAATAAAAAATAAACGACCGATCGCGTTAGATTAAAAATAATATAATAATTAATATAAATTTTAATTATAATAATGATAAACCGAAATCATTTTAAAATTCCGATTAAATTTCTCACTTAATTCTCCAAACATTTCGAGTCAACGGACTTCAGAGCTCGATGTAGAAACATTTATTTATCGATGAGAACTTCGTCAAATTGTTTTAGACATCTTCCTCGGATAATCGGATTATTAGAATCTACCTAAGAAAATTGTTTGTTTGTTTCGATAACAAGTATTTGCGGTTGACTCGCATCCTTTCCGCTCTGACACTCGAAATCAATCAGCGCGATTAGCGAACTCGATAGAAATCTCATTTTATATCTGTGTATTCGATTGGAAAAACAGTCAGATTATCACGATACTAAATAATTTTGTTATTGTTTACTGAATTCTGATTTGGTTTCTCCTTTTGTCTGGCCAATGAACGGCTCTCGATTGTTTCTAGTAAATCGGAAATTGTTATTTACAAGGCGACGAATGCGAGTTCTCCGTTTTTCTTCCCGAATATCGTTTGAAATTTCGTCGAGACCTGTTGATAACACGAATATTCTCTATAGACTTGTGCTGTGACAACAACGTCAAGTTTCGAACAATTCGGTATATTTTTTTAGCTAAAAAATATGGCACGTTACTTTTTCGACATATCCTCAAAACGTTATTATTTCGAACATTTTTTTTCTGTTTAACTGAATAAATAGTAATTTTTTCCTTTCTCTTTCTTCAAAATTATACATCCCAAATGTTATATTTTGAAATATTTTGGAGTTTTTAAATAGTAACATATACGAGTATATAACCACAAATATGATATAATAATAAATTTCTAAACTAAAACAAATTTAAATAAATTTTCTCTTTCCTGAATATAATACTTGAAGTATTGCCTAAACATTAAATATTTTTTCACTTGTTAAATTTCCAAACCTTTTATTTTGAATATTCCTATAAAAATTAAGTTTATTAGTTTAAAAAAAGTTAGCGGTCTAAAAAAAATGAGCGCTAATTAAAACGTGTTTTCAGAATTTTGTTGAAAATTAAATCAATGAAATAAATTGTAATGTTTTGAACGGTCTAATGTAAAATGAGAATTGATTAAAAGGATGAAGAGCAAAGACTGAAAAGGAAAAAAAAATTATTATAATTTGAGAAAGATTGAGATGAATAATTCCGAATGAGTTAAAAACAGAATACGATTATTTTTAAAAACTGGCAAAAGTTTAATTAAATTTGACATCATTTCAACCGTTTCCTCGAATGATTAATGGTGAAATGAGAAAATGAAGGCTACGGATCCGAATCAAAATATTTAACGTCAAACATCAAACGAATATTTAAGATTTTCAAACTTTTTAAGATAACTTATAAATACTCATAACTTATATGTATATGTAATGATATTATATATTATTATTACAGATTATATGATTTGTAACAACAATATATACTATTGTATACAGCTAAATTAATGTAATAAGGTATCGGAATACGAATTAATTTTAATTTTGTTTCAATATAACATAAAATACAGTTGTTTTCACAGAACATTAATTATAAAATTCTGTGTAATGGAATATATTATATTATATTTATATATATATATTTTTAAATTAACAAATGTTCAGAGACGGAGGTTAATACAGCGTGTATATTCCATTGCAAAATAATCATATTCAATCTGTACAGAACGTTGTCTAGAAAACTGTAAAGATAATTTTTACATAATAATACTCGAAGCAAATACAGTTAAATGAGTTAAATCTGAACACAGATTTAGATTTACTCAATGTTATATATTTGTGACTATCATATTTCAAACTTTTATACATATGTTTAAAAAGTTTATATTTTTAACTATATAGTAACAAAAACATAAATGTAAACAACGATTTTTATTAATATTTTTCTTATACGGAGCCGAGAGATTAGATTTTTTTAGTTTTCAGTACTTTCTCTTATCTAGTGTAATGTCAAATCTTAAACATTTCAGAATAAAAAATAAAATTCTATTGCGAACATTTGTTCTATCTCTTACTGTTTTTCCGCAAGGGAATTATAAGATACGTGTTCTTACCTGTTCACTACTCGAAAAACACCGTTGTATTCTGTAAACTAAAGGGGATAGGATATTATTCAAATGATTTTTATAAAACTTAACTAAAGAACAAAAATTATTTTCAAAGAAAAAAAAACCATTTCATTAAATTAAAAATTATAAAAAATCGAGTTTTACCTCTCTCTCTTAAAACCTCACAGAAGACAATAAATAGTAATTGTGATTATTATCCGATGATATTTTATTGTGGTATTTCGTAATGAGAATTTCATTACATTTCGTATTTTTCTAATTCGAAGACTATTTGATATATCGTTACGTTATATCGTATTTATTTTTCATAATAGAAATCATATCAAATCGTCGTGTGTTTCCTAATATTGACAAATCATTTTTGTATTTCATGTTCTCATAAAAAAATTTTATGAGAACATGAAGTATAAAAACTGCAGTAATATTTGTGAAAATTTATAAAATTCATTGTTTATTTTATGTTTGATAACTTCTCAAAACGAAATTTCCTCTAAGATTTAAATGTGAATAAAATTTAGTGACTAGTAAGTGTAAATTGCCTTGCTTGGATATACATACATATATATAATTAACTAACTAACGTAGCAGTTAAATATTAAAGAAGCTTTATTTTAGCGTTATAAAAATAGGCATTTTAAGTAAACTAAAAATTATGGCTATAAGCGAATTTTTGCAAAAAATTATTTTAAAAACAATAACTTAATACAAATTCCAAAAAATGTTCAAAATTCTCGATTCATTCTATAACTGCAGGTTAAATTTTAAGACATTTCAAGTAGCGATATACAAAAAACAGAGATGTCTTACAGAAATTACATAACTTCGTCATATTTGTTTCTAGAAATATGAACGATTTTAAGGATTCATATTTCTATTTATATGCAATTTATAGGGAGCAACTCTTACGAGACAATTACATCATAATCCGGACTTCTGCAGACAGACTCGAAAGGAAACAGTAGTAAGAATGTCAAATATTGATAAATATTCGAAAGTATTTGTTACAAGAAATTCGAAAATAAAAAATAAACGACCGATCGCGTTAGATTAAAAATAATATAATAATTAATATAAATTTTAATTATAATAATGATAAACCGAAATCATTTTAAAATTCCGATTAAATTTCTCACTTAATTCTCCAAACATTTCGAGTCAACGGACTTCAGAGCTCGATGTAGAAACATTTATTTATCGATGAGAACTTCGTCAAATTGTTTTAGACATCTTCCTCGGATAATCGGATTATTAGAATCTACCTAAGAAAATTGTTTGTTTGTTTCGATAACAAGTATTTGCGGTTGACTCGCATCCTTTCCGCTCTGACACTCGAAATCAATCAGCGCGATTAGCGAACTCGATAGAAATCTCATTTTATATCTGTGTATTCGATTGGAAAAACAGTCAGATTATCACGATACTAAATAATTCTGTTATTGTTTACTGAATTCTGATTTGGTTTCTCCTTTTGTCTGGCCAATGAACGGCTCTCGATTGTTTCTAGTAAATCGGAAATTGTTATTTACAAGGCGACGAATGCGAGTTCTCCGTTTTTCTTCCCGAATATCGTTTGAAATTTCGTCGAGACCTGTTGATAACACGAATATTCTCTATAGACTTGTGCTGTGACAACAACGTCAAGTTTCGAACAATTCGGTATATTTTTTTAGCTAAAAAATATGGCACGTTACTTTTTCGACATATCCTCAAAACGTTATTATTTCGAACATTTTTTTTCTGTTTAACTGAATAAATAGTAATTTTTTCCTTTCTCTTTCTTCAAAATTATACATCCCAAATGTTATATTTTGAAATATTTTGGAGTTTTTAAATAGTAACATATACGAGTATATAACCACAAATATGATATAATAATAAATTTCTAAACTAAAACAAATTTAAATAAATTTTCTCTTTCCTGAATATAATACTTGAAGTATTGCCTAAACATTAAATATTTTTTCACTTGTTAAATTTCCAAACCTTTTATTTTGAATATTCCTATAAAAATTAAGTTTATTAGTTTAAAAAAAGTTAGCGGTCTAAA